TCAAATACTAGAAATAAATTTTGCCCGCTGCAGGAAAAGGTTGATGAGGAGACTCTTGCCTCTGACTTTAAATCCTTTCAACTGTTAATTTTCATATATTTCTTTTTAGGGTCTCTCTGGCTGTTAGAGTACTCTGTTCCCCCCTTCTCACTTGCACGTGTCCGTCTAATATTATATCACAGAAATCCTCTCCTTAGATGTGAAGGGTTAGATGGAAATCTCTTAGTGCTGCTTTTTAAATTGCCTGGAGGAGTCCCTTGACGGTGACATGAAGCACTCCTCTTCCCTCTCACCCTGGGCTGAGCACACTGCCACCTCCACGCTACTCTAGGTCCTGCCGCCTGCCTGGCAATCGTGATGATGCCACTAGGCTTGTAATATTTGACGTTTAACATCTTATGCAAAATATACAAATTTTAAGGTGGGTAAAATACTATTTTTTTTCTATGAAAACTATTTCCTTTTGTTGTTATGATGAAATGAGAATACCATTGACAGGGATAGCTGGGCCTAGCCATGCTCTGTTTCTTCAAATCAGGAAGAAGCTTGTTATACATGGTGATATTTAAATACTGAGTCATTACAAAAACATTTGAATGAAGATGTTACCAATGTCGGTAGAATTTAACTGAATGAATAGACATACTCTGGTCTGTCTTAGGATCGTTTTGTTCAGTTTCTGCATTATTAGCTGCAGCTTCTTTCTGAAAGTTTCAAGTGTGTTGTAGAAATTCAAGTTATTAAGTACAGTTAATAAATATTACTTTGTAAAAAGAGCACTTGAAAACTCATTTTGGGTCTCCTTTTGTCACCATTCTCCTTATTTCAAAGGAGCTTGTTCAGGAAAGAAAATGGGATTGTTATTTGATTGCTCTTTAAAGAGGAGCACTTACCAGGCTGTCACCTTGTTTACATATGTTTTTATTTAGTGTAGGATTTTGCAGTTTGCATTTCTCCTATCTACCCACTGTGTAATTTGCATTTACAAAAAAATGATTTCCCATTTCTGTAGGAGTTGGCATCAGTGTGACGGAGTGTCGTATTACGAAGACTCCATCAGACTTAGTAAATCTGCTATGAATTATTTAAGTATTATAATAATTATGTTTCAAACCGTTTATGTCAGATTCATGAACTAACCCTCTCATAATAATAATAATAAAAGTATTATAATTGCTGCTTCTTAAAAACGTGTTAATTTGTCTTCCTGTCCCACCTTTGAGAAGGATCTGCTATACATAAATTCATAGTAAATTATCAAATCTTCAGTAAGCTTTGTACTTGTATGTAGGCATAATTTGATCCAGCCTCCTTTTCTCTGACATTTAGTTGACTCCTTTCCAGAACTACAGCAGATTTTACCAGCTAACCATTTCAACATCACTTCTTAAATAATTAACACAGTACTTTATCATTTGCATTCCACTAATAAATTGGATAGTGACACACCACATTCCGGGTATTGTAGGTTTGTGGTGCATTATTCCTTAGCAATGTGTGCTACTTACAGGTTAAATCTCCACTCCTGGAATGAAACCTGCTAATATTGACCTCTCTACTTGAGTAGTTTCATTAACGTAATTAGAACTGGACATGTATGGGGCAGTGCTTGAAGGCTATTCTGCATATCTAGAGCCTAATTTTGTTTCATTTTTCACATAAGTACTGGCGATTGTGATGGCAACAGGACATCTCTGAATATGTTCAATAATTTTATCAGTTTTGCCATTTGGTAGCAACTAGAGTTTGACTGAATAACCGCAAGGCTGTTTGCAAGTTTTATTTCTTTTGTAACAATAAAGAGACATGAGGTGGTATATGGTCTTGTGAAGTTAATGGTGCTGGTTTTTTGAGTGGACCAAACGAAAATTCTTTGGTATTTGTTTAAACGCTGTAGATGACTATTTTAAAATAAGCTATGAAAAACCTACACTCTGTCCAGAAGTTACTACTCAGTGGAATAATCCCCTTTATTTCAGTGGAGTTATCACAAGTATCTGGGAAGCTGTGTCTCTGTATTCTGCGTGCATATGATACTTCTCCTTACAGTTACAATTCTTCAGGGGTCTTAGAAGTTCACAGTGAGGGGCCTGTATGACTGAAAACTATTACGGTGTCCGCTGTTTCCTTTATCGGTGCATTTTATGTAGGTACGAAAAGGCTCTGCCAGCACTTTCTTCCCGGGCAGTTCTTTGCTTGCCCTCTAGGATATCAAATTCTTTTTCTGTCTGAGTAGTGACCGAGAGTGATGCTTTTGGCTCATGGTGGGGTTTTTTTGTTTGTTTGTTTTGGGTTTTTTTTTTTTGGCATTTGAGAAGTAGCAGAACACTGAAATCTATCAAACACTTAAAGGTTTTCAATTTTATTATGTACAGCTATTGAATCCATATGCTGTACTTCAGAGATGGAGGTGGTATGGGAAAGATTATTTTCAATAGAACAATTTTTGGTGCAAGACATTTGCAGACATGCAAAAGCATGGAGTCTATGGTCTAAACCACTTGTATACATGGACAATGTTAGAAAGGGGCAATAGGTGGAAGAAGAATAACAAATAGAAACCCTGCTCAGTTAACGCCTTGTTAGTGTCAGCATCTTTAGTGGAAATGCACATCTGTGTGTTCTTTTTTACGAAATTTAGTATAGAATGGTGGTGAATGGCTTAACATATATAAGGACTTCCTTTTTAATACATATTAACGGAGGCTAACAGGGGAAAAGGATGGACGTGTAACTGATGCTACATCAGTAGGGGAATCTTGGCATCCAGGAAACAAGGTTCAGACAGCAGGGACTCAAAGGAGTAGCTGGTTGTATGGCAGCTGAGTTTTGTTGTCCATCACTCAGTCTAAACAATTCTTTCATTTAAGAATAGTAAGTGCAGTAGCATTATAATACGCTTGGAACATAGAAAGAAAATACTTTGTTCGCTCTCAGCATTTTAATGTATCGGAACAAAATGTGACAAGTCATGCATCTCTGTTCTTCTTTTTTAACTGCTTTTCCTTTTGCCTTCAGTAGATTCTTTTTCTTGGTTTTGAAAATTGTTGTATTCCTAGTAGCCTTTGTGCATATAGTCATCATGTTAGTCCCTTAAGTTTTTTTATAATAAGGGTCTAATTATTTCTTTGAATTTTTGTACCCCCCATGTTGAAAGTTCTAATTCATTACATTCTAAGATAAAAATAGCTTATTAGGTTTTTCTGTACGGATTTTTTTTTTCCTTCCCTTTTTTGATTTGTCACTGTTGTTTGCTGATTGTAACAGATAGAAGTATTCTATCCTTTGTCATTCTCAGTGTTTTGTTTTGGGTTTTTTGCCTCCTTTTGGAAAAGGAGTTGGTGGGATCTGTGTTAGAAAGAAGAGCTTGAAGAAGCTCCTTCCCAACTCCTTATATATTGAGCCAGCCTTTGTAGCATATTGCAGTGTTTCTTGTAACGAGATGAAGAACTTCCTTCTCTGTTGTCTGCAGCAGAGGCCAGGGATAAACTTGTCAAAGCTGATGTTGAATGTATATATTTGGGTATACTTCAAAATGATTTGAATTTACCATTTCCCCCACCCACCCACCTTTTTTCTTCCACAGATTAAAAAACGTCTTACCTGTTTATCTAACAATCAAAAAGAAATGCCTTAGTAATGACTGGCATTTTTATGTATGACACTGTAGTGGAAATTCCACAGCATCCTAACACATTAAACATACTCTGAAACAATGTTTGCGTGTCCTTCATCTCATTTTCTTCAGGGATGAACAG